AATCACTTCTCCAAGTGTCTCTCACAAACAAACCACGACCGATGAATGATGAACGAATCAATGAACGTTGAATGAACGAATGAACGTTGACTCCTGCAACCAGGGCGTGGCACCATCCATTCTTTTATCACCAGAAGACGCCACTAAAGAGCCCCAGCTGCATTGTTAATCTTGCATCCCGAAAAGACTCACAGGAGACTTCTGCTGAGTCACAACACCTACCTACTCTCTCTCTCGCTCTCCCTACCTACTTACTGTATTTCTCTCTCTCTCTCTCTCCCTCTCTCTCTCTCTTTATCCCTCTACCTACCTACCTACTCTCCCTCTCTCCCTACCTACCTACTGTATTTCTCTCTATCCTTCTACCTACCTACCTACCTACCTACTCTCTCTCTCTCCCTACCTACCTACTGTATTTCTCTCTCCCTCTATCTACCTACCTACTTTTTTTTAAATTTGCCTCTTCAAAACCTTGGTGCGTCTCATACTCCAGTGCGTCTTATTCTCCAAAAAATACAGTAAATATCAATAATTAAATAAAAAAAGTTCTAGGAAAAGCCTCAAAACTAAAGTGGATTAAAACATCTGGAAATGTAAGTTGTGGGACTAAACTTTCTTATCCAGTACTAAAAAGATTGTATTATAGGCCCCTGACAACATACTATAATTGAGTTGTCAAAGATGGGAAAAAAACTTCGTATATTTACACATTTAATATTTTCTACTAAAATACTTACTAATTTCTCAAAAGAAAATCTTAAACATATAGAACAAGATCAGTCTACACTAACCTGGCATCTTCAACTATACTGGCTTATAACTTTTATAATTGAAATTGCACGCTCCAAATCACAGGAACTAGAAACATCAACTCTACTATGCTTTTACAAAAGAAATATGACACTGAATTTTAGATGACCCCAAATGATGGAGTTAGCAGAATTATCAGCAGATAAAAATTCTGTGCAGTGCCCAATTTTATCACCATTATGGTTAGGGTTGCTGAAACCAACAATTGGACATTGTTGGTGCATGTGACTTGTATATATTCTCACCAGAATCCAAACCCCAACAAGCATGGGAGAGGAAAGAAAAAGCATAGAATTATATGGGATTATAAACCGCCAAGAAAAATATTTACTTTGCTGTACAACTTTGCTGAAGATTGCAGGTAAATCTGAATTAATTATTTATATCTCCACAGTATAAAATTTGGCAGATAATTTATCCCTAAACTGAGATTATCAGGAAATGAGTCTAATGCAAATTTTCAGAGTTAGAGGCAAACTGAAGACTTCCTGACAAATTGAAAAATAATCATTGGATTATTGAGAATTTCAAAAAGAAGTGTTTTACGCCTTTCTAAGATTGGCTGATTTTGCCAGAGATTCTGGAAATGGCCAATGCCAATGCATAAAAAGGAATTCAATGAATTGTGTAGATTATATACTGTGGAAAGCATTACTAAAGATAAAATTGTCGGACTTATTATGTTTCTGCCAATTTAGCATTTATCTATTAGAAGCCTTTAAGAATATCAGCAAATATATGTTTAGGGATGATGAAGCCCACAAAGACAACTTGTTAATGACCAAACTTCAACAATTAAAACTTGTATATTAAAATTTTAAAACAAATTTCAAGAGAGTCTGTTCTAGAAATAATGTATGAACATGGAAGCATCTTACCTTGCTTCCATTTTCTTTTGCCTCTTGCTCCAACTTAAGATCAGATGCTAGTATGTTCTTGTACTTGCTCTTTCCGTCACTGTTTGGGTCATCTAACCTGTATTCTGAAGTAAGCTGAGCAGAAAAGGGGCTGTCACTCAGGTTCAGAGGCTGTTCATCTAACTCCAGAGTTGTTTTACCATTACTATTGGCTTCTGCAACTTCCCTGCAGTGTGTTCCACCTGAAGTGTTAGAGCTGTGTCCTGCAGTCTCATTGCCATTAAAACTCTCTGCAGCTGAATCATCTACAAAAAAAAACATGAAATTACAGGTGCTTGGTGCCATGCCAGGCATTCAAATAAATACACCATTTTCTACTTCCACAGAATATTCAGTGTTACTTTGTTTGTTTTTTCACCTGCACTATAGCCAGAATGTTATGCATGTAGTGTGATGATAGAAAGATAGATAGCGATGTCTGTTTCTTCTTTTGTGTGTGTGTGTGTGTGTGTGTGTGTGTGTGTGTGTGTGTGTGTGTGTTACTCCTATAATGCTGGTATATCATTATTCCAGTATTTTCGAGAGTACCAAGGATAGCTCGCAACAATCTATGAAATGGACATATTGTGGTAAATTCAACCAACCAATATTATGAACTGATTTGGGCAATGGCACTTGATAAGCTAAATCCAGAATAATGATTGATAGGATGTTCCTAAAATTAATAATTTTGTGTGTGTGAAATAATAACACCTGCCTTCACTGAGTCGCTCTGCAGTGATATTATTAATACCATATATATTATTAATAATTTATTTTATTGCCTAATTAATTTATTATTGCAGGAAAAAATAAACAAAATGTACATATCAGTGAGTTAGGTTAGTTTTCCTTTACTGTTAAAACAATATTAAGCAATTTAAAATTTATATCCTACTACATTGTGCACCGATATAAAATTGCAAAGCAATTTTAAAAAGGTTTATTAATATTGCTTATAATATTTTAAATATGCTTTTATTTGACATTC